CAGGATTGAAGGCCTAACGGAATTTAAACGAAGCACAAACCTGATTGAAAAACAGGACGACGCCGGCGCCAACAGCTCGAGCCCGTCGAATTTTTTTCACATCATCGGCGGTGATGTTCGAAGCACCAAGTATTTCGCCCGAATGGCTTTCGATAAGCTCTCGGAATCTTGTTCTGTTGTCGTTCAGAAGACGTGCCACTAGCTCACAACCGACATCCATGGTGGAACAAGCCCTGAAACCCAACACGTGATTGTTCTGAATCTGAATGGCTCTTAAAGCAGGATGGGTGGTCAGGATCTATCTTACGAGCAGCGTGGTGTTGCTCACAATGATTACAGAAGTGCTGTTGTCGCGGGTTGAAAATGAGCTACGAAGGCGCTAGGGCCATACAAAGTGAGCACTCGGAGCAAACTGAGTAAGCGGACGAGATACCTCGCGCACACCCGTGGCACGCGACGTAGACTACATAGTGGTTATTTTAAAGATGCGCAGGTTTACAGAGCCATGAAGCGAGTAGGACCAGTAACTCTTTTGGACACGATCTTTGCTCATCCCAGAGCGGCAGAGAGATCGGCCTTGTTAAGAGCTCCATCTGCCTTTCTTTTGCATTTTTTAGTCATCTCCTCAGCCCCTTTTCATCATAGAGTGCTGTTGTCCCACCATCTTGATCCAGGACTGTTGCTTCAACCCTAGTGGCCACGCGGCTCCACGTGGGGACACACCTTTTCCATGGGACAATTCGGTTCGATCTGGGGACGCATCACAGAGATAATGGTAGGTGCCAAACACCTATAAAAGCAACCCGCACGGTCTTTAAGCAAAGGGTGCCTTCCAGCTCTCGGCTTTTGTAAAGGTTAGCGGGTTACGTTATCGTTCATGGCTTTATCCCTTAGTTTTTCTTCTTGTAATCTGAAATGACGCTTGGATGAATTGTTTCAAGAATATGCTTCGATTTGCAGGCTCCGAAGAAGGCGAGTGCGCCGAAACGTAAGCCGAAATAAAGTTCTATATCAATCTCGGAAGCTCGAACAGAAGCAACTAATACTATACTAATCATGCCGAGATTAATAGAGAGTCGTTCATGGAATATTATAGAGATAATGGTTCTGCGCAGGATTTCCGAGATTATAATGGCATACCAATCAGGAAGGTATTGCAGTACTTATGGTAATCATGGTCCATGCATATCTTTCCTAATGATGTTTTACACAAGGGGTACTTGAAAGTGATTTTCCAAAGCAAAGCTTGTTATTTTGAATGCATACGGCTGGCTTTTTGCTTGCAGTTAGCTAGAGACCTGATACAACTTTTCACAGAGATCTGCTCCGACCCCATTTACAGTTTTAGAATGAACAACTCAGGTTTTTCTGGCTGCTCCGAAATACTACCCTGTGTCAAGACGAAAAGACTCACGCACAATTATTGAAGCGATTGGCAGAGAATTGAGGGGCGATTCTCAACAGTTTCCGCATTCAACATTTTGCGGCAGGTGCTTCGCTGCACTATGATGCATTACTCTGGTAAATGGTTGAAAGGACGTCCCCTGCGAAATAATCGCATTTGTCACCATTATGCCGTCTAATAATAATTAGAATTGTTATGTTCATTCTGTGCAGCAGCATAACGGAAAACGGACTTTGACTTAAAGTGGTCCGATTCGGCGTCAGAAGGAAATCTCAGCTAGGAAAGTATTGAGAGTCATTCTGGATTTTCGCAAGAAAACCTCGAATGAATAATCGAAACGAGTGTTTGTCGATTACCAGTGACTTTCTGCCTTTTGTGTCTGAGTGTGATTTATGAATATGGGCTACGTGCTTTATGACAGTCCTCGAACGATATACAGTTTGAGACTTCAGTGAGGTCTATTTGCCCATACTAATATTACTGACAGGGCGCGAGCTGATGCTCCGCAAAACTAGTGGAACCTTTGGTGAGTTCGTTATCGTATCGGGTGGTTCCGAGGTGTTTCTCAACACGACGTCGGAAACGCTAGAAGTGGGGAGGTGCTTGGTCGGGGTAGATTACAAGATCAAAAAGCTTCGAGCTATCTTCAGGCCTCTGAAGAAGACGAGAAGGTCGAAACGTCAGGCCACTTAATAAAAGGTTCCATTTATCAACCTCGTGTGGCACAGAAGAACATAACAATTTAACCGATCATGCCGAGGTTCCAACAAGGGATAACGTGGAGACTAATTGGAATAGTTGTTCGACATGAACGGTATTGAGCAACACTGGTTTACTATGCTGTTTGGCTCGACTTCATGTGAGAGCAAAATTCAGGGTAGTATATTTGGAATCAAACGGCCAAACGCTCCCTCTTTCGAATTGTTTCCATGAATTGCTGCACCATTTAGAAATGCAATTTTCTATCTAGTAGGAGAGTCCATTTCTAGCTAGAAGATAAGCAAGGAGGATGTCAGTCGATGTACTGAGAATCCTTTGTTTTTGCCAGCTGCATTTAAGCTGTTGCAAATTTTACTTAATTGGGAAGAGGAAAAACGCAAATCAGGAGCATCATGATAGCTGCCAGTAACACACATGCCTTGTCCCTGAGGAGGGAGGCCAATCTGTGCAAATATGGTTTTTACAAAAAGTGTAATTAAATTACTAGCTTTGGCGGCTATGGAGCTATTTTTGAAAGGGCACTTTGAAGTTGTTCATCCTGGGGAGATTCGCTTTCAAATGCAGTGTTACCTAGACAGTGCCTCAATAATTAGCGTTTGCCAACAGATCAATGTTTTTAAGCGACTAACACTCTTTCTGGACTTCGCGCGTTCTTCCATGAATCGACGATCGTCGCATTCTGGTACCGGATTCAGTACTCCCTCAAGGAGTTTGAGGACGAAAATCCCTTTAAATTTTCTGTCCCCCACATGGGATTGTCCTCATAAAAGGCCTACATTTTGCATGTACGTAGGTCAAAGTAAATGTGCACAAAAAATGAAGAATTGAAAACAAATAAATTTGAGGGATTTCCGTCTCCTAACCCCTTGAGGGTCTGGCCCCTGGTGCCGTTTAAAGCTCATGGTTGGTAATGCCGTAGTGTTTGAACCATCTGCACGCAGCCCTTGGCGCTACGACCATGAATGAGAATCACAGCGCTTGCAGAGTTCTTACTGACAAGTCGCGTTCCGATCCGTTCAAATAATTAAGCCGTGATTGTGGCTCGCGTCGCTACCCCTGCAGCAAGTTAAAGGAGGAAACGTCCTTATCTCAGTCATCGCAACCCGCTACAGGAACCGAGAATGAATTTAGTACAACAACAGAGTGAGAATTTTGCACTTTGTTTGCCCGCTGTCGGCGAGGGTGATTCCACGAGTGCGCCACCCTCACCTCATAGCCAGCGGGTGAATGACACATCATTATATTAGCAACCTTTAATGCCTATAATTCATCCAGGAATTATAATGGCAGAAGTTCGACCAGAAGAGCGATGTAATGGTGATGGAAAAGCAAAATTCATTAACTCCGCTGCATCAATTCATTAACTCGGAACGCCAAAAGCTTTTTTGCCTCGACTGCTTCAGCAAAAACCCATAAATTGCCCTTAACAGAGTTTTGTTTTTACTCTTAATACTTCATTCACATGCTTATGGTAATGAAAGGAATAAAAAATGAATTAAATTAGAAATTTCAGTCCCAGAAAATTTTAGCGGAATAAAAACACCGAATATTCTGTGAGTCACGTCGTGTATGTGTGTTTCTGTTCCATATAAACAATGTTAGATGGAATTAAAACAAAAATCTTGGACAAGGAAAGGATTACGCGGGTGCGATTCGCATACGAATCACGCCGCCCCATATGGTTTGCAGTGTACGGTACGCATATGCGTCGCGCTGCTGCAATCATGTTCTTCGCCCAGGAAAACTCACTCTGCAGCCAATGAATCTTTTAAATCCTGCTCGGAAATGACCCAAGCTATTTATATCGAATTCTGTGAACTAAGCTACGAAGAATCTTAGCCAGAATGAGGACTCAGCCAAAGTCGTGTGGAAGCGCGATTCCTCGGATCTTTTTCAGAGAACTGAAAAAATCTATGAAAGCATAACAGAACTCACATTTCCCACGACTGTTTCAGATAGCGAATCTCAGCGACGTTGAAGTTCAGCGTAGCTTTTGCAGGTCCCGGTTCACTGTTGCATCCATTTTTCGATGCCGTCATCTGAAACAGCGACGTTTTAATGACGCATCACTGAATTGTCGCAAAATCGACTAACCACGGAACCTTGGAAACCGACCATGAAAAAAAACACGTGAAAAATTGGAAGGCAAGAAAATGTGGACGGGACGACGGGGTGACGTTTCACTCTTGCGTGGGCCATCAAGCTTTCCATTCATTTTGGATCTCATATTCCTTCCGCGGTACTTTCTATACGCTGTCGTCGGAAAAGAAACACAAAAAAAGCTCGCCCCCTCGCAATTACACGTGAAAATTCTGACAGATCGTGGAGTTGAGGGAGCTAAATTATTTCTTCAAAGGCAGTGAAGTTCAAAAATAAGCAGAAAAGTCGGTGGGGGACCCCCAAGGAGGGCGCCAAAGGAAGTTTAAAAAATCCGCTGAAAGTAAGTGAGATCGAGATGACGGGAAAAGCAATTTTTTCTTTACTAAACTCACCAGGAAGGTCTTTCAGGGCGTGACAAGCTTTGTGAAAACGGTCTTTGCATGATATAGG